CATGGCAGCTTCTGCTTTTTGTATCTCCCCATGATCTTGCAGGAAAATGATATGGTGGGATACAGTACTTACAGAATAGTCAAGATCAGGCAGTGCTTTGTCACATTGCCTTTTGCTATGGCCAAGTTCACAGTTAGCTTATCCTGCATCCCTGCTTAAGAAAGCCTCATCTGTCAATACACCCTCTGCTTTTCTTCCCAAAGCAATCATTATAACAGGTTTGATGGGATCTCATGCTTAGATTGTGCCAGACAATTTGTTTTGATTTAGAAATAATCCAGATCTTTCTGCAAGCATATTACTTGCATTCTGAAGCTCTGCACACTTCTGATATTGTGGATCTGAAAGACTGCTTCGCAAACCTCAATCCACTATTTAATATATGTAGAAATCTATTACTGACATCTAAGGGTAAAAGGCAAAGCCACACTTAGTCTCATGGATTGAGTAGGAGTTTTGATTGCATTTTGGTATAGTATCTAAACGAGAGGCAAAATTAAGGTTTTTCTACACTGAAAACTGATCTCTGAGGAATTTATGGATTTTCAGTATATTGCAGAATTGTCTTTTAGTAGAGTCTGCATCAAACTTGCATACTGATTTGCATCTAAAAAACCAGGAAGACGATGAAGGTATGTAAATAATGAATTATGGCAAAAAAAAGTACAACACTGACAAGTAAGACTTGTTAGATAAGTGCTGGCTAGCCAGTGTAAACTGCAAGCAATCCTAACATCAAGATATGCATCAATATTTGTGCTTGTGTTCAAGAAGGTAGTCCTGGAAGTGGTGGCAAAAGCATGTAAATCATGCCCCACCTTGGGAATATTCATACAGGGAATGCACAATGTTGTCTGGAGAAAAATTAATTTTAAAATCAACAGTGAAGGTTATAAACAACTTCTGTTCCATACCCTTCCTTCTCAAATTAGTGAGCTTTGTTTTCATAGAATTACTGAATGGTTAATGTTGGAAGGGACCTCCAGAGATCATCTGGTCCAACCTCCTGCTCAAGCAGGGTCACCTAGAGCCAGGGACCCAGAATGCTGAGCTTGCAACCTCAAGCTTCTGTTTGTGAAGGGCAATGAGACAGAGCTATGATTTTGAAAATTATTACAAAAAGTGGAATGTTTGGTAAACAAGCTGGCTTCATGTTACAGAGCTGAATGTTCTATGGTATTTTTGGAGATGTATGTGCAAGATGACTTTGTTAGAACTAAACTATCAGTGCTGTTCAGTAATTTTTAATGTAAATATAAACACACAGCATTCAAGAACTAGAAGATAGATATTTGTGTAGCTTTATCTGGCTTGCAAGGTCTGTTTGCAACAGTATGTGTAACATGTAATGTTCCAGAAATAATCAGATAAAACCAGACAAGCAGAACACCTCCTTTCAAATGGTTGGCTTCCCCTTTGATAATCCTATCATAAATACTTTAAGAAGTCTGTAATGAATTCACCCAGCATGAAAAGAATATTTTTCTAATAAAGCAGGGGCTGTACTCAGGGATGAACACAAGACTCCAGTGAGATCCCAAGTCAAACTCCTGCTGAAGGTGCAAAGAACTGAAGCTACAGCATCTTCAGAGACCCCATAAGCATTCCTTTTATACAGACCACAGTGATTTCATCCTGCTGCCTCGTGGACTTGACATCAAACAGATGAAGTTCTATGTTTTTTCTCATCCTCAGTTTTGCAGTTAGTAACACAGGAAAGTGATGACTAAATTTAAACCATACGCTGAGTAGGATGCAAGAGATAAAGTTGCTCATGAAAAGAAGGCAGTGGATGTAATCTTTCTGGATTTTAATAAGGCTTTTCATACCATTTCTCACAGCATCCTTCTGGTTAAATTGTCCAACCAAGATATGCAGGTTTCTGCTACATTGGTGGCAAACTGGCTCAACAGCAGGTCTTACAGGTTATAGTAAGTGGGACTGTACCTGGCTAGTGACCAGTTAGTAATGGTATGCTTCAGGGCTCAATTCTACGTTTTTATCATCATCTCGGGGGGTTAAATGCATCTCTATCAAGTTGAATGATAATTCTAAACCAGGAAGTGTTGGGAGTATTGGCTGATCCTCATCATCACAAAGTTCACCACAGGTAAATGCTGAGTTCTGTGTCTGGGTCAGAGTATTGCTGGGCACTGGGACATCCTGGGAGCCGAGCGGCTGGAGAAGAATCCCTTCAGGAAGGGAGCTGAGTGTGCTGGTGACAGCTGGCTCAGTGTCCCTTGGCAGTAAGAGGGCAAATGGCATTTTGGAACACAGTAAGGTGTCCCAAAGGTGCAGCACGAAGGGTGAGACTGGGTATCCAGAAAAATGTCCTTATCGTGAGAGTGGTCAAACAGTGGAACAGATTTGCTAACGAGGTAGGCCTACCGGCTGTGATCAGCATAACCAGTTGACAAAGTGTTTGCAGGATCTGACCCATTCTACTCTATTTTGGAAGAGAGGACTTCTAGTGAATTTAAGATGAACCATGATTCAGATAGTTGTACGTAACAATTCAGAAGGGTAGATCTGGAATAGATGCAGAATCTCAATGTTAAAGGAAAAAGAGGCAGAAGAATGAGAGGCGTTCACTAGGACGTTCTGCTCTGGCCTGGGATGCTTATCTTTTCACAGCTGAACTCCTTACTCCTTGTCATTTTTCCAAAAATCTTAATGATGGTGTCCTTATGCTATGTGATATTCTTTCTGGAAAAAGACAAAAAAAAAGAAAGTTTGAAGATTGCCTCATTTTACACAAGGCAGAACACATGGACTAGAATTTTCCACAGCACTTGATTCCCTCTGGGCTAGCTACATTTTCTTTGTTTTTTTTTTTTTATTCCTTAAATACATGCCCTGCAGTAGCACTAGTGGGCTCCACATAAGCGCCTTAGCACTGCTGTGCAGGAGCAGTGGTCTGGAATACTTCCTGCACTGTGTATGCTGAGTCCATAGAATCTTAATGGAGATGTGAATATTGTGGTGGCAGTCATCCTCATGTATTTTTTCAGGTTGTGGTTATTAACCACTTGCATTCTATAAGCCATAGAGAGAGGTCCATGTCTGAATATGCATCACACAGCTGCTAACAATGTGTAGGCTGGACTGGATTGTTCCTGCTTCCAGAAGTGCTAGACTGTCTCTATAACTGAAAGTGTTAGCCTTGTGTGTCAAGTTAGATAAGAGGCACTAATAACAATTAGCAAAATAAAATGTTTCACTGGCAGACAAATTAATAAATGAAGATGACTGCTGAATCTAACACCATCAAAACAACCAGCCCACAGCAGGGAGATTGGAGTCAGATGATGTTTAAGGTCTGTAGGCTTGTAAAGGGGGCAACAAGCATAGGGAGAGGGACACTGCTATTCTTCACTGAAATTCTATGCTCGAAAACCTTTTTTTTTGTGATTAACTCATTTCTGAGAAAGCAATCTCCAGTCCTTACTGTGGTTTGTGTGTGTACCTGAATCAGCTGTAAGCTATAGCTACTTGAAGTATCAGAGCAAGTGAAGGTTTTAGGTTATCTTGTAGATACCCAGGGCCCAGTTAACCTTAAGCCATTAAAATTGGTGCTGCTGTTATTAATACCTGAGCTAACAAGTATATCTATATGTGCAAATCCAGTTTTCTGTTAGGCTTCAGACCACTGTGTTTTGTATGAATTGCTGAAGATGTTTGTAGGTTTTGAACTTCTTTTTAAACAGTTGTCAGAGATGTTTCTGATCAGGCTAAATTTATTTATTTTTTTGCTTCTGGATCATCTGACATACTTCCTTATCAGAGTGGTTTAATTTTCTATATCTGTGAGAGAAGAATCTGGGAGTCTTGTCTTTGCACCCTACTGTTTCCATGTAATTTGATCTGCTGTTTTCTGAGGTCTGTAGGGAATAATCCACTCACAGAGAGTTCTCGGGATGAGAAGGGCCTGCTTAGTGCCATGCTTGGTATTAGTTTCATTTCAGTGACTTCAGATCTTTTTTTCCAAATTCCTATGAGGACACGTTGCATATATCCTCTCAACCATTCTCCTCACCTACCTGCTGTGTTTTCACCTTCTCTCTAAATTCAATCTTTGTAATAGCTCTCTTCCAGAGGATACTGACTGACTAGTATAGGAATACGGCTAAATGTGAGCTTTGTGCTCTTAAGTGCCCAAAACAGAGTCACGTTCTTTTTCCTAAATTTATATTAAAGTTGAAGGACAGAAGGCAACAAAGTTCCTGTCGTGTCCCGATGCCTGAGGTTAATGTCAGAAGTCCAGTATACTTGATGCCATGGCTGAGGTCGTGTGTTCATGATGAAGATTGCTTGGGGACATATCCCTTGTGTGTTCCCATCTCTCCTGTCTGCGCACTGTCTGCAGCTGAGCATTATCCTTCTGTGGTCTCACCTCTGCTGTGCTGGGTCCTATGCTGTCAGACTTCTCAGTGCACTTAGCTACAATAAAATGATGGAAGCTACTGACTGCATTGTTTGTTTGTTTTTACCTTGTACCTGTAGTCTTTGGGAATGATATCTAAACATGGCAGATTTTGAAACAAAGTTAACTTAGATGGGCTTTCTTCTGTATTAGTCAATCTGTTTGACTACTTCAGGGCAAGTCAGCCAAATCTGGGAAGGAAATAGAAGAGGGTCATGTTTGTCACTGTTGCTCAGTAATGGCTTAGAGCTCAGGCAAAGATTACAGTAATGAGCATTTGATTAAAAATGTCAAAGCCTTAGATAGCTTGCAGCTCTGGATGAAATCTGCTTTGCTTACTTGGTAGTGATTGGTCTGATTTTACCCCCGCAGATAAGCACTTAGTAACCTGAATCAACAGCTTTTCTCTAAGCAAAGAAAACATGGCTTTGCTTATGTTTTCTTTTTATACGTTTTGTTGAATTGCTCTGTCAAGTTGTGAAATGTGACTAGGTTTTGTTTTTGAGTGGGAATGTTACAGACAAGTGAAGTTTGCTTCAGTGCACGCATTGAGCGTTTTCTTGCACTTCTTCCATAGTCTGAGGCACGTGTTGTCTTCCCACGTGTGGGCAGCCCAGAGCATGGCTGGCCCGGGTGGCTGTCTCCAGCAGACCTTCTGTCTCTGTGGATCAGAACGTGGTCCCAGATGTCTCCAGTGCCTTGTGCTCCCACTGCTTCTCGACAGGCGAAGTCAGCATCTACTGCCTATGCTGATGGAACTGCCAGGTAAAACTCCTTACTGCAACACAGCCAGCTTTATAACTGCAATGTAGACATAATCTCATTAACCATTGCATGTCTGACATCAAGCATTACAGAAGTAAGAAGACTTATAAATGTAATCACTCTCTAAAATCACTTAGGATGAGGGCGAGGGTCTATCTGAATGTTGAGCTTTCAGCTGTGATGACACTTGGACAAGTTGTAATTTCTTTCTCATTTTTTCAGTAAGTATAAATATGATGCTGAATGCAAAACTGAAGACTGAATTTTGACTTTAGTATCTTCAAATATTTGGTCTCAATCCAGGTTTATGGCAAATCCTATTTACTGTCTTCAGGGACTGCAAAATAGAAAAATGATTTTGATTTATCTCATAACAAACTTTTTTTCCCCAATGGTAATTAAGGCTAAAGATTCTCATTGATGTAATCCCCATCAGGATGGTAGGACTGCTTGTATAATTCAGTTCTCTGAAAGAGGTTTTCAGAGTAGGAAAAAAAAATACTCTTAGAAGAGAACTATCACATGAGCAGTATTATTACTTTGAATTACCAAGTGAACATAATGGACAACAATTTGCACAGATCATCTGGTTGATATACAGTTTCTGGAGAAAAACAATTGAGGCATTTTCTTGATCTTTATGACCACACACATCACTTTCAAAGCACATTTACTTTATTGCTTCTTAACAGCTATTTCTTCTATTGAAGTTTTAACAGATTCATCGTGTGAATGCAGATGGGTGAAAAACAGTCAAAAATCTGTGAAGAAAAACTTTCAGAGTGATGTTCAGTCAGAACTGGTAGAACTATCATTGCTTTTTACTTCATTATTCTTACGCAGTACCAAAGGAACTGAGTTTAACCGTGCTTTGCAAAGCAGTCAGGACTGAAAGTCTTACCTGCTCATAGGAGGCTCCAAACCGGAAAAGGTCATTAACAGGCGGTAAGTAAATGCAGCCTGCTTACAAGTTATCTCCTTTTCCTGTGCTCAATATGCACTTCTCTATTAGAATTAATTGCTTATTCTTCATTAATAGAACACATTTTATTTAGCTTGCACCTTTTTAAATACTGTCAGTTAATGAAAATCCTGCAGTTATACTGGTGCTTGTCCCAGAGCAGCACACTGGAAAAGACTGCTTTTCTGATAATGACTTTTGCAGTGACTCTTGCTTCTTCAGACTTTATTTATAAGGCATCTTCCTACAGAAGGTTCTGCATCAGATTATAGGAATGTACTTCAACACGTCTATAATCTTACGGTCCTGCACTCTGCTTGCTCCTTTGGAGTTAACACTGAGCCATTTCAGTGAAGCCAGGCAGCAGGAGGAGAGTACTTATCTAAATTTCCAAAGGTTTCACTGAACGGAGAACTCACACACGAGTTTCAACAGTCTAAAAGAAGAAAGGCCTATATTGGTAGTAGATAAACGAGATTGACCAAAGCAGTTCTGATTAAATACAACTATGAAGTCTGCCATCGAGTTTTGCAGGTGCTCTCCTTTACTTGTGTAACCTGATAATTAAAGTTTTTAGGTTTATAATGTGTAGTAATTCCTATGCATAAACTATAATTTCTGCTGAATTACTGATTTAAAGTAAATGCTTGTGCATTGCCTTTAACTTCTGTTTGCTTGTAAGCCATAGACTGGAAAAGCCTGTATAGAAAGCAGAAAAAAAATGTGGCCTTACTGTGTTTTTAAAAATACTATAGTGTATGTATGTGCTGAGTTCTTATATTCTCATTAGAGATATGCAATTGGAATGGCATTATGAAATACAGCATACTGAAAAATTAATATAAAGACAAATAATGCCAAAAATCAAGCACAGACCTCTCTTGCTGCTGTTCTTTCATTGTTGCTTTTGTCACGTTATTTTAACAACACCCAACAACTCTAAAGTGGTAGGACTGATTTATGTTGGAGGTGTTTAAAATTTTACTCTACTTTGAAGAGATCCCTTCAGCTTCTTATGGACCTTTTCCTTCCTTAGTGCTTCCCTCCCTCCAAGCCCAAGGTGCATTCACTCTCCAAGCCACTGGAGAACCTGGCTTTTCCTTGCCAGCTCCTACTGGCTTATATGGCAGCTCTTCTACAGCAGTTGCAGTGAGCTGTGCCAGCCACCAGCTCCTGTAGATGTGCAGCATTCCTATTCCTGGGGCAGCTTTCATGCCACACATGGAACTGCCTGGCAGGAAAGCTTGCCCATCCCAGTTTTCAAAGCAGTTTAAGAAAATCTGCTGTCCCAGCTGGGTATTAGTGCTTATTAACAAAATTAGAAAAAAAACAACCAGTGTACACAGTGTACAATTCAAGCTTGTTTCTCTCTACCCAACTTACCTCCTGGCTACACTCTTAGTTATAAACAGAAATGAAATGTATGTCTGTGCTGTGTCTGATAGTAGAATTTCTCTTAATTTCTAAATACCACAGAACTCTAATTTGTAGCTTCGTTGCTGGGGCCATGAGTTAGCCTGAGACATGAACGGGTTAGAATGCAGTTTCCCTTGCCAAGTTTATGGCTGCTATGGTAGTCCAGCGTTAATCTTTTCAGGGCAGTCCTCCTTCAGTCAGACAGGAGCTTCCCCCTCTGCTATACTCCCAGCAGTGCAAGATGTGGGGAAGATCACTCCATCCTCACTGCTGACAAAAGGAAAGCTTTGTTTTCACTGTGCTGGAGGTCAGGAAATGATCAGGCAAATGTTTTGGTTTTTCCCACTGAATAGGAATGGTCTGATTTCAGCACTGCTAGTAACTGCTACAGAAGGAGGGAACCAGCAACTGCCATAGCTGGCTCTTATTACGAAGACACAGCATCAGCTCCAGCTGGAGAGAGGCAGGAGATTGCCAGCAGAGAAGGGCAGAAGGCACTCCAAGAGATTCCGTTGCGTATCCCTCTTCCCATATTGTTTCATGGACCCTTACCAGAAAGCAGAGGCATGAAGAGTTTGCTTATATTTGTTTTCTCCTTTTAATCTTGAATGTTCTTTACAGATTAAAAACTTCATTATTATCCAATGTTATTTTCATTAGCGAGGAGGAAAAGATGGATATATTTAGAGCACTTGGAAATGAGACGCTGTTGTCCAATTCCTCTGGTCCTGCTCGATGGGATCCCTTCCACCGTCCTTTGGACTCCATCCAGCCCTGGCACTTCAGGCTTGTGGCAGCAGTGATGTTCGTGGTGACCTCCCTGTCTCTTGCTGAGAACCTGGCTGTGATCCTGGTAACTTTTAAGTTCAAGCAGCTGAGACGACCTGTCAATTACGTTATAGTGAATTTATCTGTGGCTGATTTCCTGGTCTCACTGACTGGTGGCACCATTAGCTTTTTAGCCAATCTAAAAGGCTATTTCTATATGGGGCACTGGGCTTGTGTACTGGAAGGATTTGCTGTCACGTTTTTTGGTAAGCTTAATATTGTTTGTAGTTGTATCTTGTTTTCCTTCAGCTTCCTTTGATGCGTTTCACTATCCTGCAGCTTCCTAAATCACTGACCTTGCATGCCTGTGAACGCACTGGATCTTTTCCAGTTATGTGTGTTCCGTGGAGGATCTCATATGAGTGAATAATGCGTATCACTGTTGCTGTGATATGTCAGCCTTTTACTGCTTCTATACTGTTCTCTGAATATAGTTCATATAATGAGAAAAAAAAATGCTAAAAGAATGGCAGTAGTTGCAGGGAAAACAATGTGATTTTAAAAAGACACTTCATTGTTTAATTATTTTCCAGGTTTGTCTCTTGGTGTGTGAGTATTTGGTTAAACAAGAGAGAGAGAACAAATGGCTGTTCTTAAACTATGGACAATATTATGTCACTAAAACATCTTATGTTAGCTGTCCTGCAACTGTTCTGAGGAGCCATGCTGTGACTGTGGCTGCCACCCCCCTTATTTGCTTTTCCTGTGATTCTTTCTCTTGGCTTTGTTTTCCAAGTACGCAAAACATATTGAAGTACTCTAAAAGGGAAAATAAATCATCACCAGGTAGTTCACTTTGTAAATATACCTCTACAGGGTAAACAGAAAATTAGTTTATAGTGGAACATCTAATTACATCGACATACAAGTTCATTCTTACCTCCCACAGGGCTTTTGTGTTGCTGCCAGCTGACATTTCGGTGCTGTTTCAGAAGCTGTGTAGTAAAGCCATTCTTCTAACTCTGTCACTTCTCTGAGTCAAATGCATTGCTGATCCTCAGCTGAAAAGGAATTCCACTTTTGCTCTCAGGCTGATGAAGCTTCCCAGAAAAGTTTACTGTGGGAGATGATAGTACTATGATGGTTTGTGGCATGGAAGGCATGTCCTGTGGAGTAAGATCAGACTATTTCAAGATTTTGGTGATCACCCAGGTGATCCGTCCCAAATAAACTGATATTTTGATGTTATGGGCAGCAGTCTGTTAGGTTAGAGCTTATGACAGTCTGAAATATGACATTTTTTGCAAAGATAATGTTTTGAAGATATACCTTCATTTGTTAGTTTGGAAGCTACACATAATGTGCAGTTCTTCAAAGTAAAGCCTAGTGGAAGAAGTAATTGTGAGCTAAGAAGTGCAGTTAGAAGCTTAGCTTTGTAGTCATTATACTAACAAAATGGACAAGTATGAAAATCCTGTGCTCTTAATGAAATATTACAGCAACACGCATGATTTGCCCATCTTTTGAAAACCTGTCTTGCTGAAAAATGTTCCTGATGTGGTAAGTAGTCAAACGTGGCCATGAGTTGCCCAGAGAAGTTGAACTGGAAAGTTGAAATGAAAAATGAAAAAGAACCTGACTGGATGTAGTCCTGGGCAGCCTGCTGCATAGATCCTGCTCGAGCCGTGTCAGACTGGTCTGGATGACCTCCAGAGATGCCTTCTGACCTAAATGATTCTGTGACTGCAGTGTGGGACGAGGTTTGCTTTTCAGTAAGCCTATTTGATTTTGATGCTGAGTTTTTTACTGTAGGCATTGTGGCTCTCTGGTCTCTTGCTCTTCTGGCTTTTGAGCGGTATGTCGTGATCTGCCGCCCACTGGGAAATATGCACTTGAGAGGGAAGCATGCTGCCCAGGGAATTGCCTTTGTGTGGACCTTTTCCTTCGTTTGGACCATTCCACCAACCATGGGTTGGAGCAGCTACACCACCAGTAAGATTGGGACTACCTGTGAGCCTAATTGGTAAGGCCATCCTTGCAGAATGTGGCAGAGTTTAAACTCGTAGCTCATGACTTGTTAAGGGCACAGTTCCAAAGGAAAAGGTTAAGGATGATGGTCTTCTCTGCCAAAAAAGAGGTAGACAAAGATAACAAGAAAAGTTTCCGGAGTTAAAAATAAATATTTTCTAAAACATTTTCCTGAAAAGAGGAGCTTTCATCTCTAATGGAAGTAACTGTTCCATATGTGGGATTTGTTTGTTTTTGTCAGGATTCAAAGAGAAAAAATAGATTTTCAGAAGACTGGATGAAGCCCTGAGCAGTTTGTTTTAGCAGCATAGCTGACTGCTCTTTGAGCAGGAGGTTGGACTACACGTTTCTTCCCACCTAACTCACCCCATAGTTCTTTTGGTTCTGTGCCCATGATCTTACACAGTAAATCTTTCCTAGCCCAGAGGAAGGGAGATAGCCATGGGCTGTCTCTGATTTGACTAAAGCTGCTTGTGGGTATTTTGATTAAAAACAATTGATGAAATTACTAGTGACATCTCTGACCACTTTGAGAAAATAACCACGATATATACATGATGTATTCTGTGTTTTATACAGGTATTCAGGAGCTTATAATGATCGTTCCTACATTATTGCATTCTTCACCACTTGTTTTATAGTGCCTTTATTGGTAATTTTGGTATCCTATGGGAAACTGCTGCAGAAGCTAACAAAGGTAAGAAGAAGCACTTTCAAGTTACGTTTTTGAAATGTGTATGTATGCAAGCACCTGGAATTTTCACATGTAGATTTCCATAAGGATCAGACATAAGCAGACCTGTTTCCAGGCAGCAAATGTACTCACTTATGTCTTGATAAAGAATTATTTTTGCACTCATTTTTATTTTTTAGTTTAAAAAATGAAAAGTAGATCCTGGAGGCTGTGCAAAGAGCAGCTTAAAATGAGGGCTGAGTGTTCCCAGTGTCCTGTGAGGGATATTGTGTGTGTTTGTAGATACCTTCACCCCAAAAAAAGGGGGAAAAAAAATGAATGGGAGTTACGCATTTGTTTTTGTTAAGGATTTCTCTTTTTTTCAATTTAAAACTGAGAAAATCAAATAATGCAATGTTGATAATAGCTGTTCAAAGTTCAATTAAAAACAAACAGACTGGGGGGAAAAAAAAAAAGACCAAACAAACAGGAGTAAGGATCATCTGGTCCTTGAAGTGATGCTGCAAGCACTTCTTTCTCTTGTGCTCTAAGTTATATCTTAGTCACTTAGTGCACTTTGCATCCAGGTCCATCGAGGGCAGGGCTGCAAACCCCTGAGGCTGCCTGGTAGAGCTGTGTGTTGCACCTGCCAGGGCTGCAGGCAGGTATTGGACTGCTCACCATACTCACCTGCCCAGGTGTGACACCAACAGTGGGCTACGTGTGACCCTGCTGAGCGAGACTTGTGACTGAAAATACCGCTGCTAATTACAGAAATGTATGTAGCACTACTAAAACACAGAAAAAGAAGTAGAACAAATCAACTAGTTCAAATAAAAGCATGAAGACTGATGGAGGACTAAAATAAGCAGGAAAGAATCAAACTTTCCCCTTCCTCCTTTCCATCTTGCCTGGAGGATCAATGCAGTGCAGAACCAGTAGTAATTATTCTTTCGACAGTCTTTATACATCGTTTTTAAATGCACCTGTGTTCAGGACTCTCATTTAGTATTATTGACAGATAAGCAGCTGTTGTGTTTCTTTCCAGAGATGACAACACTTCTGCTGAAAAGGAGGCTGGGTTGCCCTCTACTTAGGTAGCGTGTTTATGAAGAAGTGCTATAGAAGTGCTATATGTTTTTCGTATTGGGAATATCTTATATTTGCTCAGCACCTAACAGCCTTCACTGATCCCTGACAACTTGTACATATGATCTCATCGTTATCAATTTCCACTGTATTCACTCTTTGAATGCCTTGTTTGTTTTCTGGAATTCTCTGTCTTTAAGGTGTCAGATACACAAAGCAGGTTGAGAACTGCCAGGAAACCTGAAAGACAAGTGACTAGAATGGTGGTTGTTATGATCATTGCTTTTCTGATCTGCTGGATGCCATATGCCACCTTTTCTATCCTAGTCACTGCATACCCTTCCATTGAACTGGATCCTCATCTGGCAGCAATTCCATCTTTCTTTTCCAAAACGGCTACTGTTTATAATCCAGTTATTTATGTGTTTATGAACAAGCAGGTACTGTATGCTCTCAGAGTGTCTTTAAAGTTTATATTTTTAGTATTTAGTATTGTTTTGTAATGAATAGTTTCTCTCCACCTTATCAGTTAACCAGCATTCCATATCCATAATTTAGATTTTTTTTTCATCACTACATGTCTACTTAATGCATAGAGTTTTGTGCTGTGTTTCAGTATTAAAATATGAATACTAGTAATCATTAGATTTAGGTATTGGAAAAGAAAATCAACTCTTAGTGAACATCAACTATTCTAGTTTTCTGTGAGCAGACTCTTTTTCCAAGACTATCCCATTATGTTTCCATAGTTATTTTGGAATGCAGTGCCAGCAAATTGCTTCTGAGGTTCATCAGGGGAAATGCTGCATCTGTGGTTGTGTGTTCAGAGCAACTTGCAGCATTGCTTGTCCCTGGGTGACGGGGTATTCTCTGGAATGGGGTCAGAGAAATGGATGCAGAGAAGTACTGACAAGGGATCAACCAGAGGGGTCGTGTCTGAGCCAGAGGTAGCAAGTATGTTAGAACCTTGAACAGATGTGTGCTGTGAATGTAGGAGGGGGTGGCATCAAGCAGAATACTGGGGTATAAAGGAAAAGAACTAGAATATCAAAGTGAAGGTTGAATGTGAAGTGATGAGTGCATTTATTGATTTAGTCCTGCAGTGACAAACAACTATTGGTTGTCCCACATCCTGTGGGCAGTACCCTGATCTCCCAGTGCATGGCAGATGTACGCTCGTCTTAACCTGCTCAAGGATATGAATGTGATGGAAACAAACCATCATTGAATATCTAGGTATTAGCATATGAATGCAACTTGTGAGCCTTCAGAAATGACCAATTCAATTCAATTAGATGTGGCTAGCAACAAGCATAAGAGGAAAATGATTTTTTAGACTGAAGCATTCTAGCAGTTTGTGTCTTTTCAAATTCTCAGTTCTCTGTGGTGCCACAGGTAAATGTATTTTATGGAGCTATTTCTGTATATGACCAATGGACACAGACAATTTCCAAGACTTTTAGTGAAGACAGAAAAAATAGGAAAATGTTTTTAAATTCCTCATGTGTTTTGATTTTTCTTGTTTGTTGTTTCAACTTTCAGTTCAGGAAGTGCCTGATACAGATGTTCAGGTGTAGTGCCATAGAGTCTGCAGAGTCCAACATGAGCCCAACTTCAGAGAGAGCAACGCTCACCCCAGACAAAAGGGGCAGTCAGTTGTCGATCATGGCAGTACGAAGCACCATTTCTTAGAGGAAAAATGGAGATGAACACAGAAACTGCAATTCTTTTGCTCAGCTGACAGCTTCAGGAAACAAAATCTGTCTCTTGCAAAAGGTAGATATGATCGTTAATGCAATACAGCAGTGTGTTTCCTCGTTACCCCATCACTTCATACTAAAGATGTCATTGGGGCCATTGTGCTCTGTCTCATAGACACTAACTTTAAGATTCTGAGCTCCCAAGTGCATATAAGAGCTGCTTGGCTGTGCAGTTGCAGTTGAAGACCAGCCAGAAAGTGAGTCCCTTTCTCTGTGTTTGTCTTAGCAATCCTACTTGCTCCCTGGTGTAAAACAACGGAAGCCCAGCATTATTGTGCTGACACATAATACAGCAAAGAAAAGAGTTTCACTGATGACTGCACCTTAGTCAGCTGGGCAAAAATATGAAGTGATGCATGGCTTCAGTACGTTAATGGAAAATGAGTAATATTTAGCACACAGCTGACTCAAGCTCAACCACACAGAGATGCATGGAGACACAGGCTTGAGTGCCTTTTGATTTGTTTGGAAATTTTTACTAAAAAAGCAGAGGAAGCATGAGGTCTCTGCACTTATGTCTATCCCAGATGAGAACCTCATTCGGGCCACTAAATTTTCCAACACCGTGGATGAGCTATGCATACTTTCAAGGACTTTGTTATTAAGAGCCATTCATATTCTTTATGTCCTCTGTGCCAAGAAATCTGTACTAATGGCAACTTTGAAATAAATCAACTAATGCCATCCTTTAGTGTGTGTGGGGGTGACAATCTTGTACCTATTTGTCAATTCTCTTTATTAGAGAAATTTAGTTGCAAGGTATAGCAGAGTATAATACTTAAAGAGTATTCTTAAAATAACTAATTTGTTTAATTTTATTTACACGATGCTCTTTGTCTTAATGCCAAATTAGAAAAAACAGATAAAATTCAGATTATTTTCTTAGTAGAAAGGTTGTTCACGTTCCCTGATTTCATTTTAGAAGGGTTAGATCTAAGAATGGGAGTTACTCTACAAATTACTTGAGCTGCATGTGTGAGAATTCTTTGCAAGCCACCTGTGGTTCTGATACTCATCAAATTTCATTAGATAGTTGGCTTTTACAATATAATTTTAACCTCCGTAAACTTGAATTTTCACAGTGCTCAATATTAAACCCAAACTATAAACCTCATTATGAAAGCTACATCTTTGCACAATTCCTGTTCTTCACCACTAACTCCATGTTATCTACATCAGAAAAGTCAATACATGTATAAGGCTCTTAATTTTTTTTTTAAATATTCTAAGACAGGAGAGTTAAGACACTGAGTTATTATTTGTATGCACACCTTTGTGTTCATTAGTTTGTTTTTAAAAAAAGAATCTTTGCATTTAAGACTCACATTTTCTCTTTCAAGCATACTTTGACCTAGGTTAATCACACATTAATGGTATGAGACATATTAAATCATGAGGAACTGGCAGTAGTGTTAATATTTAATTAAAAGCAACAGAAGTATTTTATGTCCTGAGAATTTGAGGAAATGTATTTTTCTGTACATGTGAAAGTAAAGCATCAAAACTTAAGTAACGGAAAAGAAAGGCACAACATGAAGATGCATGGAAAACCTAGGAAAATAATAAGTTAAAATTGTTTTTGCAACGTGATTATCATCTGTGATTCAGAATCTGGTGACGCAACACAGCCAGCCCTGGCAGCAGGGGTGGAAGCAATTCACCTGTGAGACCAGAAGGGGTGGATCCTGGCTCCACCTCTCCCTGCTCTCATTTAAGGGCTGGCAGCCAGAAAGGAAGGGTCTCTATGGAGAGATTACCTCCTTTGGAGTGTTGGGTGAGCCCTGATCCTTGGAAAGGGGTAAGTGTTTCCTCTATCACTTGGTTGTGACTGCTACCTTTCTTGGGTGATCCAAAACCAGTTGAAGGCAATTATATCTGTTGCTACTTATCATTTCATTATCATTTATCTTTATCATCCTAATACAAGTTACTCATCATGAAGTTGTATAGGTGAGTCTTTTAGAGTATTGCACCAAGGAGAATATGGGTTGTTTCTATAAATAAGTTGTCATCAGCAGTTTGTAATCAAGGCAATGTCTCCACTAACACACTCAGTACATAAATAGATAGTGTGAAGTTGGCTGTGGGTCACATTTCCATTGTGCACGGTGAAGTGGATAGTCTGACATGAGGCTTTGGATTACTGCACTCAAAACATCAAAAGGGAAGATATTCATAGAGCAACTTTAGGGCAATATTCACATTTCAGCCAGAGAGCAGGCAAACAACTTTGGCTAGTTGGTGAGGAAAAGAGAACTGCAGTACAAAGGGAAAAGAAAGGAACTGTGAAATTACATGAGACTAAACTAAAAAGTCACGACACTGAGCCCTTCCTCCTTTTGGCTCATCGTAAGTGCTAGAAAGAGAAGGCAAGGTTCTCTCCAGCTCATATAGAGGAGCCCTTAATACATACATTATAACCACCTGGATCCCTCCAGTCAGAAACCCTGAACTACTATCATACAATTTTTACTTACAGTTTTAGCTTCTGTGAGAATGTCTGTTCAAAGAAGGAATGAATATGGCTTCCCAGAGTACAGGAGACGGTCTTGCTGTGGATGATAACAGGTTGATGGGAGAAAAGAGGAGTAGCAGCCATGGAAAAAATCTCAGGAGAGATGATCAGAAAAACAGTTTTGGATATAGAATGTTGAAAATAATTGTGAAACATGCAGAACAGAGGCTGGCTGAAACAAAGGGTTAGGAAATATGGAGATATATTAGAAATAAAAGCCACAATTTGTATAGTCTTAATGTATGAACCCATAGGAGTGGAGGCTTATGTTATGCAGGATAAAGAGGACAGTGAAACAAGAGACATTCTTGTGTCCTGAGCAGACAGGTCAAGTATTGAATACTGAGGAAAAACAGCAGGGTGTGATGGTAGGATGGAAAACATTAACAGTACCACGAAAGATAAGTGGAAAATACAATCTGGAACACTGAGTTTATAGACGTTACAGCACTTGCTGAGAAGCAGTTTGTCAGGATTAAAAAAGGGGTGAAAGTCTGACAGGGGAAAGTGGAATTTGAGGCGTAGAAGTAGGGCATGGTACATGAAGTGCCACTAATTTCCAGGAAGTGAAAGACATGAGATGGTGGCTGGAAGCGGTGGTATTCCCCAGCAGCTTTCTGAAGAGATCTAGTTTATCACTGTTAGGGGAAGTAAGTAGCAAAGCAGAAGAAATTGAAGCAAAGAAAGCGTATAAGAGAAATAGAAGCAAGCGCTCATTCAGTTCATCATGAATTAAACGTTAAAAATAGCTAAGCAAGATCTAAATTATATGCAAGGGCTCATCATCTACAGCTGCATTCCTTGTGTGAAGCCCTGTCTTGTGTTCTGCGTGTAACTTGTGGCCTAGCTACCACTGCTAACATTTGATTGCACTCCTTTCACACCAGTTCCTCTAGAACTTTAATAGTTTACATTTACAGTTGTCTTATATCATCTTATCTCCATATTAGACAAGCGCTTTGACGTGCAGCAAGCATAGATGTAAAAATGTAGGCTGCAACAGAATGACATGAAAATTAGCTCTTCTAGGTAAACAGGAAATTAATATTAGAATCTAATTAATTCTTCTTTCATGTGGAGAATCAATTAGACTTAATAGGACCATGGAGGCATCACAAATGTTTTCTTTCCATCAAATGAAGCCTACGCTGAACAACCACTAATTAATCATTCTGATAAAGCACAGTATCAGCACTTCTCACTGTCTGTAACTTTTTTTTTTTTTTTTTTTTTTTCTCCCTCATTTCCCCACTTCCCTGCAAGTATTTTCTATCAAGGGCAAGATTTTGTTTGGTTTATTATTATGAAAATTCCCATAATTGTGGAAAAAATGCATTTTCCTGAAGGAATTAGTTATTAACATCTGCACATACGAAAAAATGTTTTTTGAAGATGCCTACCAGCATCTACACTAGTAGACTACACTACCAGCATCTAGTTCCAGCACTAATATTCTGTATCTTAAACATGATATTTTATCTACTGAAGGTTCCTATCTTTGAGACAACAAGGAACAACAGAAACTGTGGGAGTTTTTGTGTTAAAATATTCAGTATCATTTCAGGAGGACACTTATTTTTTTCCCATTCTGTTAGAATGCGTTTTAAAACGTGTCAACATCTTGACGTATAGCTTATACCCCAATGAAACAATATTAGCTTTGATAGAGAGCATTATAAAGTTTGTACAAGTTTTTCAATGTAACAATAACAAAAAAAAAAGAAACAGATTTACAATAAAAATGGGAGCATGAGATGGCATTCTTTCAGTGTTCATTTTTGGGTTTTATTTTTAGTATAATAGTCATTAAGAGACGCCATATGCGTTAGGTACAGGGCATGAAGGTTTCACCATAAGCACTGTTTAAGTTACGCTGTGAATGCTGTTAATGATCTTAATGATTTCATGACTGGAATGTATGATTGCAGCTGAAAACAATATGCTCGCATACTGTTTTGATAAACTGCTTCTTATGTCCTTGAATTTTCATTTTACCACCAAGAGAATGCCTAGAAATTACATCAGTTTCCTAGATGATGCTGTAAGAGATGTTTCTGTTTCTCAAAATTAGCCAGTACAACACTATACCAATTCTTCTGCTTTGTGATCACTTATTAAATTTTAATTATGCAACCTAGACAAAGTAACTGTCCTTCCTGTAAGTCTTTAATGGTATTGGGGGATAACTACTTTTTGGTTTTAGTTAAAAGTATCAGCAATAATCCATTGATTTGTTTATAATGGAAATAGCACTTTTATTTTTTGGAACATAAATTACAGCTGTAGTAAGAGCTACTATTTTGCACTGAAGTGGTACTGGCTCCTTTGGGTTGTCTGTAACAAACGCACCAGTGCTGGAGGTTGGCGAGCTGCTAGTTAGTGAATAAAGAATGGAAATTAGGAAAACAAACAAACATCTCTGCCCTTCCTGATTCTGGGAACCTACCTGTGGCAAAAAGGAATCTTATCTGTGTAGATCATGGCGTACTGTCCAGGTTTTGTCCATGGTGAGATCTGCCCTTCCAAGAGTACAGTAATCAACCCTTCATTGGTACAAGGTTGAACTTTCTGGTTTGCACATCAGGATCCACTGAGACCGTTAAACTCATTAATATTTCCAATTTAATATTGGAGTGAGCTTTTACAAACATGACACCCAGTAGGTATCGTTAAAGGCCACGTGTATTAACATCACTGTATGTGCTCAAGCTGGACAGTGGGCTGCTAGAGTGAGCTCATGTATGGATGGCTACTGCCAAGGTCTGTACTTAAACTCTGCCCACATTCTGCTTCAATTCCTCTTGCTACAGTGTCTTCTGCAGTGGCTGCCCACAACTTTGCATTTATGGTTACGCCAGCACTTCAGTGTGAAAGAATGCCGTTCTTCTGCCCAAGTAATAAAAGTAAGCTGGCTGATTTTAATACAGAAAAAAACCCACTTCTAAAACGAGAATTTCAAATGGGCACTTTACACTTCAGGATCAGTAACACTGTCAGAAGCATTTTCATGGACAAAACAGTGCAGTTCAGAAGGGGACTATCCATGCTGTTTTCCATAGCTCAAGTCTAAACATGGTTTGAAAAGTGTGTTTTAAAGCATCATCGCACCTCACTGCCAACTAGCAGGTTGAGTGAGCACCTACCAACTGAATGTGTTAGTGCTCTTCACAGAAGTTGTCATAGCCTTGCTCTGACAAGACACAACATGAACTCTA